CCCTCTTGGCCGACTGCTTCTTGTGCCTTTTCCTAGGCACTGGTGACGGTGAACGGTGCCAGAACTCTGGTATGATAGGAGGAGCATGCCTTATTGAAGCCGAGGCACTCTGTGCCGAATCAGACTGGCCTGGCTCAGATGGAGGTCTCAGTGCCGCCTCCATGAGCAAAAACTTCAGCCTGGCCTCCTGGTCCTTCTTCGTGCAAGGCTTAAAATCTCTGCAGATCTGGCAGCGGTCTCCCACGTGAGCTTCTCCCAGGCACTTCAGGCAGCTTGAATGCAGGTCACTCAGAGGCATAGCCTTGTTGCGGAAGGCGCAGGGCTTGAAGCCCAGTGACCAAGGCATGCCTCGGTACCAGGGAATGGACAAAAACTCAGCTAACTCAGTAAGTTACAAACTTACACTAAAACTATTTACAACTAACTAACTATGTCCAAATATACGAAAGAGAGAGCTTGCCAAAGCAAGGATAGCTGTTCCAGTGACTGTCACGGGTGGTAAGAAGGAAGTGCGGGGTTGGCTGGGTGCTTTATACCAGGGCTATGAGTGCACAGCACCAGAGGGCACTCAAACTGCCCCGACGGGTACCACAGAAGGAAAATGCACATGTACAATCACTAGAAGAAGAACACAATTTCCTTACATGCATTCCAGACAGGTGCTTAAGGAGTAACTCATCCTGTTCTCTTGATTATTTTAATCGTCTATAACAGACCTCTAGCAGACCCTGTTCTGGGCTTGGTTAGTTAGCATATTGATTTATGTGCACTCAAGATGCTGTGATTCTGAGTTATTGATAACTCTAAAACAGGTATTGGCATCTTTAATGAAGAGTGCCACTCCCCACACATCTTTTATCCACTCTATCCTTCCTAAACAGATTGTAACCAGTGATTATAATATTGCAATCATGCAAACTGTCTCCCCTTGTTTTAGTAATGCTAATTATATCAAATTTCTCCTCATCATATGAGAAATTCTATTTCATCTTGCTTATTACCAAGACTCTTAGCATTGGTTTATACAGAACTGAAAAAAACTCTTGTCTTTACATTCTGTGTCACCTCAGTTCAATTTGTTCACAACCTACTAAATTTGCCTTTCTCCTGCATTTGCCTCCTTAGCACCTTCCTCTTTCACCAGGCTTCAACTGAGATGATTAGGCCTCCCTACCTGTGAGATGCCGGCCGTCCCATTTGCACAGCCCCCTTTCTCCCCTGGAATGTGGCCCACTGTTCCACAAAATGAAACCCTTCAGCTTCACACCAGTCCTGCGGCCAATGGTTCAACACCAGTATTTTCTGCCTTCTACCTTTTCTCGCTCATGGAACCGGAATGATTTCTGAGATTACTTGGACTTTCCTAATAGGACTTACTTAATAGCTAAGCCTTTACCTTGTGCGCACCCTTAACCCAAGTAAGCACTCATGATCTAATCCAACTCTCATTCAGCTGAATGGAAGGACTCCCATTAACTTCAGTGAAATTGGGTCAGACTCTTACTGACTCAAAGCTACCTCTAGTTTCCCTTTAAATTCAGCAATAGCAATAACCATAGGTAGTCTGTAACCCTAATCTTTATTTATACTATACTCATCTTACTTTAACCAAATGTTAAAACAAGAGTAAGCTTTTTAGCTCACAACTCAGTAAAAAGTTTATGCCCCTTGTTTGAGAAGCTGGCAATTTCATGTGACATCACAAATCATGTGTTAACAGAGAAATTTCTCTGGGTCAAGCAAATAGAGCAGATTTAGCCCAACACCTGTACTTCTTTCTGAAAACAGGATGTTTTTAAAGATTTGACATACCTGCATCAACACCAAACATGCTGTGGTGAGAAATTGTTAGTACTTCTGCATTGCCATGAACCACTGAAGCCAAACAACAGCAGGAAGACCTATTCTCCAAGGCTTTCATTTTCTCCATAAGTGAACTGTTCTCTGTGCCCATCTATAGAAACAGAGGTGTTAATGTATTAATGCAAGACAGAAAAACCCATCAAAAGCAAAAATGTAATGAGCTCAGTTATCTCTGAAGACAGCAGGGTTCTGTACACCAAGCTTCACAAATAACATGTAGAATAATGTGAAAATGAAACATCAGAAACCCTATTAGATGTTGTATTATAATGTTACACTGCCTGCAAACACCATTATCCACCAACAGTGCTAGGGCTAGTTATAAAATGTGTACAGTCAGTAACACACGCTAGCATTGGTGGGGCAGTAAATAGTGTGTATAGTGCAGTTCTCCATGAAAAGAGACTGTCAAAATTGTGCCTGATGTCTCATCGGCTCTGCTCCCCATGTGTATTCTACTGACTTCACTGACACATATGTCAACTACTTTTTACTCCTGTTCCCACTGTAGAGTAAGCACAGGTCTAGCAGTGTGAGCTGGACTCTTCTGGTCATCTCATTCAAATTCACCTTAAATACTGACTTGAGACAAATAAAATAAAATTAACCAAAAAACCTGCTCCCCAAGAAGTGTAAATGCACATTCCCTCACTTGTATCACACCTAAATTCTAGGTTGTGTTCTCTTTGGTAAAGGGATGTTTGTTTTCTGAGGCTCCCAGTGCATCTTTGGGCATGGTACAAGTAATAAATGCTAATGATGAATAGCAGAACTGTTAACTAAATTCTGACTGCAGATTTTTTATTGGTGATGGATGGGCCAGAAAGAACCCAGCTTGGCTTTCTGATCCCAGTTTGAGTTTGCAGGGCTGGCAGTTAGAATAAACATCTTTTCCCATGTAAACTTAGCAAACATGATACTGCACATTGAGTGACAATAAACCTGGAGCCCCACAAGGCCATTTTTACAGCCACCCTTTTCAAAGTCAAAACACACTTTAAAGAGACAGCAAGTAGTCCTGCAACGCAGGATAATATCCAATCGTATTAACTCATCTTCCTTCCCCCTCAGCAGAAATCCACTCTGTACTACTTGTGTTTATTGTAATGTACCTGTTTGCCTCTAGGTGGCAAGCGCTTCAGAGTAGTGATATTGTTTTATGGATACTTTTTTACTACTGTAAGGGTACGTCTACACTACCCGCCAGATTGGCGGGTAGCGATCTATCTATCAGGGATCGATTTATCGCGTGTAGTGTAAACATGATAAATCGATCCCCGATCGCTCTCCTGTCGACTGCTGAACTCCAGCTCGGCGAGAGGCGGAAGCAAAGTCGACAGGGGAGCCGTGGCGCGCCACGAGGACGCAAAGTAAGTAATTTTAATTCAATCTAAGATACGTCGACTTCAGCTACGCTATTCTCGTAGCTGAAGTTGCGTATCTTAGATCGATCCCCCCCAGTGTAGACCAGACCTTAAGGACAGTGTTCATCAACAGCACTATGCAAATGATGCAAATAGCAGTATTTGAATGATGGTGGCTATTCCTTCAGGCCTATGCTAGCTGGTGAGTACCAGTTGGTTCTAATGCTCTGGAGTGGTTTTAGTAGGGTGACCAGATGTCCTGACTTTATAGGGGCAGTCCTGATCTTTGGAGTTTTGTCTTATTTAGGTGCCTATTACCCCCCACCCCCGTCCCAATATTTCACACTTGCTATCTGGTCACCCTAGGTTTTAGGGACATCATATTCACTTCTGAGCACTTGTAGACAGCATGTAGGTACAATGAAAACCTGGAACTTTTTTCTCATGTCCTTGCACGAGTGAGCAATAAGCTACTTCTCTGTAAATATTATTTGCCATCTGTTACACTGTCCATAGCAGTACTAAATTATTGTTTTCTTCTTGATATTTGACTGACAGACACCTTTTCATTCTAGCACTTCATTCTGTGATGTGAACAGCCTGACCTGAATTCATTGTTTTTCCATTTTTCCCTTTTTTTTCCCCATTGTTTTAGATACCTAGCAACCAATGTTTGAGAGGAAAACAATCTAGATGAGTCAATCCTGCTACATCAACAAATACAGGAAGGAGAAGAAATTGATTTTAGATCCAGGCAGAGAAGGGAAGGTAAAGGGAAGGGAGAGGAGGTGCAAGCAAAACAAGATGCTAGATGTACTGTGCGTCATGCCCATACCTGAGCTATAGGAACAAGCTGAAAAGTTTGGGTGCACTGAATTCTCTTCTGTGAACTTTGTACACAAATGAAAGCAACATAGCCAAACTGTGCTTTCATGTTAACACTAGTCTCAATCTGAAATAACACCACTGAAATAAATGGGATTACTCTGAAGTGGCACTAGTTTACTAACAGCAAAATTTAACCCACTGCTGCACTGTGCACTGTCAGAAAACAAGAAAATGGAACCAAAGAATTCATAAAACAGACTTCATTTACAGTGCAGTATCCCCTTTTTCTAGTTCCAATTATGCAGGGCAAAAAAAAAAACCCCCGTGTTTCTAGCCTTTCTGTAACTGTTGTTCTTTGAGATATGTTGCTCATGTCCATTCAATGTTAGATGTATGCACACCGTATGCACAGTTGCCAGAGATTTTCCCCTCATTGGTATCCATCAGGCCGGCACTAGCACCCTCTGGTGCCACACGCTTATGCGCCAGTATAAGGGGCGGCGCCAGCCCCACACCCTCTCGGTTCCTCCTTGCCAGCCAACTCTGACAGATGGGTAGGAGGGTGGGTCGTGGAATGGACATGAGCAACACATCTCAAAGAACAACAGTTACAGAAAGGTTACTAACAGATTTTTCTTCTTCAAGTGCTTTCTCATGTCCATTCCATGTTAGGTGACTCACAAGCAGTACCTAAGGAGGTAGGCTCAGAGCTCATGGACATGCAGACTACAACACAGCTCTTCCAAACCTGGCATCGTCTTGTGCCTGTTGGGTGATGACGTAGTAGGCTGAGAAGGTATGCACCGACAACCAGGTTGCAATCCTGCAGAGGTCTTGGATTGGAATCTGCGTGAGGAGTGCTGCTGAAGAGGCCTGAGCTCTTGTGGCATGAGGTAGGACATCTGCCTGCTCGTTGCATGCCCAAATACAGGAAGCTATTCAGCGTTAGAGTCTCTGGGCTGACGCTGGTAGGCCTTTCATCCTTTCTACTACTGCCACAAAGAGTTGCATGGATCTGTGAAAGGGTTTAGTCCTCTCAATGCAGAAGGCGAGGGCATGCCTAACATCCAATAAGTAAAGCTGCCGCTCTTCTGAATTCTTGTGAGGCTTCGGGAAGAAGACTGGCAGGAAAATGGCCTGATTGCTATGGAACTGCGAAACTACCTTTGGCAGAAAGGCCAGGCGGGGGTGCAGTTGGACCCTGTCCTTGAAGAACACCGTGTATGGTGGCTCTGACGTAAGGACCTTGATTTCAGAGACTCTTCTTGCTGAGGTGATTGCTACCAGGAAGGCGACCTTTGCAGAGAGAAGCAGTAGAGGGCACACCAGGGGCTCAAAGGGAGGACCCGTGAGCCTCAACAGAACCAGATTTAATTCCCACGGGGGGTGGGATCGGCTCATGGGCCTGAGGATAAAGTCTCTCCAGGCCTTTAAGAAAGCATACTGTCATTTCATGAGAGAACACTGACCTGCCATTCACCTGTGGGTGGAAGGCCAAACATGCACCTTGATAGATACGAGAGCCAGACCTTTTTGCTTAAGATGGAGCAAGTAGTAGTCCAGGATAGACTGAAGGGAAGACTGAGTCGGAGAGAGGTCTCATTGGGATGCCCATATTGAAAAATACTTCCATTTGGCAAGGTAGATAGCCCTAGTAGACAGCTTCCTACTACCCACCAAGACCTGCCAAACTTGTTCCAAATAGGCCTGCTCTTCTGAGTTCAGCCATGTAACATCCATGCAGTTAGGTGAAGGGAGCCGAGGTTCGGGTGGAGTAACCGACAGTGGTCTTGAGAGATCAGACTCGGAGCAGGAGCAGAAGTGAGGTTGCTACTGATAGATCTAGCAGCATGCCGAATCAATGTTGGCGTAGCCACACCGAGCTTATAAGAATAACTCTTGCCTTGTCCCGTTTAAAATTCAGGAGGACCTTGTGAACCAGACAAATCGGTGGGAGAGAAATGCGTAGAACAGGTGTTCTGTCCAACGAAGCAGGAAGGCATTGGGGAGGGAGCCTGGGCTGTGCCCTCTCAGTGAGCAAAATTGCTGGCATTTCCTGTTCTGCTTAGTTGTGAACAGGTCCACCTGGGGAGACACCCACCTTTGGAAGGTAAACCTGGTGACCTCTGGGTGAAGTCGCCACTCGTGGTGAGCGGAGAAGGATCTGCTGATGTGATCCGCCAGTGCATTCTGCGCTCCCGGAAGGTGTGAATCCTCAAGGTGGATGGACTGCTTCACGCAGAAGTCCCATACACGGATGGCCTCCTGACACAGGGCAGAGAAACGAGCTCCTCCCTGCTTGTTGATGCAGAACATAGCCACAGTGTTGTCCATTAGAACTTGCAACACCTTGCCTGCGATCCGGGGAAGAAAGACTTGGCAAGCTAAGTGGACTGCTCTGAGCTCTCTGATGTTTATGTGCAGGGAGAGTTCTTCCTAGGACCACAGGCCTTGAGTCCTGAGGCTGTCAAGATGGGCTCCCCAACCTAGGTCTGACATGTCCGAGACTAGGGACACTAATGGCTGGGGCACGACAAAGGGGACTCCCTTCATCACCGACCGTGGGTCCATCCACCGGTCAAGGGAGGTGAAGGACTAGGGTTGGAATAATAAGCATCGAGTCCAAGTGGTGTCTGTTCGAGGTGTAAACAGAAGCTAGCCATCTCTACAGGCATAGCCCTGAGTGCCGGACCATGTACGTGCACGTGGCAATGTGTCCCAGTAACATGAAGCAAACCCAGGCTGTCATGACTGGGTGAACGATGACCTTGGAGATCAGGTCCAACATAGTCTGTAATCAGGCCTCTGGAAAGAAGGCTCTGGCTTGGGTCGAGTCGAGCACAGCCCAATAAACCTATTTTCTGAACTGGAATAAGTGTTGACTTTTGCTCATTTATTAACAGGCCTAGTGCTCGAAAGGTGGCTTGGACCAAGCTGATGCTGTTCTTTACTTGAGCTTCTGAACAACACTTCATCAGCCAGTCATTGAGGTATGGGTAGAGCTGTTTGAGGAAGGCAGCTACCACCGCCATGCACTTCATGAAAACCCGGGGGACTGTGAACAGGCAGAAGGGAGGAGCAGTGAATTGGTAATGAGTCTGGTTTACAATAAACCCGAGAAATCTTCTGTGGCCATGGAAAATAGAAATGTGAAAGTAAGGCTAGGTCCACACTACCCGCCTGATTCGATCGATCTTCTGGGATCGATTTATCGCGTCTCATCTGGACGCGATAAATCGATCCCAGAAGCGCTCCCCCGTCAACTGCGGAACTCCTGCTCGCCGAGAGGAGGAAGCGCTGTCGACGGGGGAGCTTGCCTGCGCCGCGTGGACCCGCAGTAAGTAACTTAGTTCGATCTAGGAAACGTCGACTTCAGCTACACTATTCTCGTAGCTGAAGTTGCGTTTCTTAGATCGATCCCCCGCCCCAGTGTGGACCAAGCCTTAGTGTCCTTCAAGTTGAGAGTGGCGTACCAGTCCCTTGAATCCAGAGAGGGAATGATGAAGGCCAGGGGGATCATGCGGAACCTCAGTTTCTTGAGATATCTGTTGAGGTGACGCAGGTCCAGGATGGGACGAAGACCCCCTTTGGCCTTTGGGATTAGGAAATAATGGGAGTAAAACCCCTTCTCTCTCAAGTTTCAAGGTACGTCCTGTGATGATGCACTCCATATGTTTTATGGAAATATGTTGATGAGTGTGAATATGATGTAACTGGAATATGCTTTATGCAAAAGGTCTTTTGTAAGGTATCATAACAAAGGTTATAACCTGCTGAATATATTCCTCCAATTTGTATGATGTATCATTCCTGTATCTGAAGCTAGAAATATTAAGTATAATTCTGAAGTCCTATTGTAATTATGCAAAGTGTGGGCCATTAATGGTGGTTTAGAATCTTGATGGCTCCCACTGACCCAGACAATTGGTTGTAAATGGTTTATTTACCTGCAAACCTTTCTGTATACCTATGGGCCAACACAGGAATAATGGAGACTAGGGGTCACATGAGGCTGGAATCCATCTTAAGCCTTGTACTTTTCCATTGATGAGGCGGGGGTGGGGACAAGCACAGAAAAAAGATTCCCGCCTTATGCCAAAGCTATAAAAGGGGGTGGAGCAGGACAAAAGAGGCTGCCAGTCATGAGAAAACCCCTGAGTACCACCTGAGATGTCTGCTGGAATTAACAAGGACTGAACCAGGGGAAAGGATTGGGCCCAGACTAGGAAGGAGTCTAGTCTATGAAAGAAGCTTATTGGAACATCTCTGAGGGTGAGATTTACCTGTATTCAGTTTCTTAATGTATTAGGCTTAGACTTTAGTGTTTTTGCTTTATTTTGCTTGGTGACTTACTTTGTTCTGGCTGTTATTACTTGAAACCACTTAAATCCTTATACTTAATATAATCACTTTTGTTTATTAATAAACCCAGAGTAAGTGCTTAATACCTGGGGGAGCAAACAGCTGTGCATATCTCTCTATCAGTGATATAGAGGGTGAACAATTTATGAATTTACCCTGTATAAGCTTTATACAGAGTAAAATGGATTTATTTGGGGTTCAGGCTCCCATAAAGGCTGAATACTGGGTGCTGGGAAAGCCCCTGTTAACTAAGAAGCCCCTGGGCTGAGTGAATCTCAGTTTCAGTGAACTGCAAAGAGGCGTGGCCCAACCTCTGGGTCTGTGCTGGAGCTGACTGGAGGGTCTAACTCAGCAAGACAGGAGTGGAGGGGCACCTGTTCTGGCAGAAGGGTTATTCTCAGTGGTATCCCAGCTCATTGAGTGACAGTCTCAAGGGGAGTCTCTGTGACCAAACCCGTCACACCTCCTCCATGGCCCCTATCTGTAGGAGGGTCTGCACCTCCTGGACAAGGAGTTGCTCATGAGAAGGGTCCCTGAAGAGGAACAGGGATGGGGTGGAAGGGAGGAGTGGATGAGAATTGCAAGGTATAACCGATTGCCACAGTATTTAGCACCTAGCAGTCCAATGTTATGCGGGACCATGACGGGCTAAAGTGGGACAGTCAGTCCAAAAATAAAGGGGAGGCAGCATCTGAAGCAGGAACTGGTATAGTGCCCTCAGGCACACCTTCAAAAGACCTGCTTTAGCCCACCAGAGTACCTATGTGACCCTGGCTAGGAGGTTGAGGTGGATGGAAGTAGTTGACGGCACTTGTAACCTCTCCCTTTTCCCTTATAGGGGTCCTGTCTCGGAGGCAGAGCCAAGAAGCGTGGCAGCTGTTGGGGCCTGACATGCTTCCTAGAAGCAGATGGAGCATAGAGGTCCAGGGACCAGAGGGTAGCCCTTGAGTCCTTCAGGCCATGTAGTCTCATATCCATCTGCTCAGAAAATAGTGAGCAGTCTTTGAAAGGGAGGTCCTGAATAGACTGCTGGACCTCCAGAGGGAGTCCCAAGGACTGCAGCCAAAAGCATCATCTCATGGTGGCAGTGGAGGCCATTGTCCTCGCTGCCACGCCTGCTGAATCCGATGCCTCCTGGAGAGAAGCTCTGGCAACATTCTTTCCCTCTTCTAATAGGGCTGAGAATTCCTGCCTTAAGTCTTGGGGCCTGGAGTCCTTAAATTTGGACAAGGAGTCCCACAAATTGTAGTTGTATCTCCCCAGTAATGCTTGTTGGTTTGAGATACGTGGTTGTAGACCACCTGTCAAATAAACTTTCCTCCCAAACAGACCAAGCTTCTTTGCGTCCTTATGTTTGGGGGTAGCGCTCGACTGGCCCTGTCTGTCCTTTTCATTAGCCATCGATAAAATGAGGGACCTGGAGGGGGGTGAGAGTACAGATACTCATACCCACTGGCTGGCACACAATATTTCTTCTCTGCCCTCTTTGAAGTGGGAGGTAGAGAAGATGGGGTCTGCTACAGGGCTCTGACCGGACCCATTACCACCTCATTAATGGGTAAGGCCACTTTACATGGAGCTGCTGCAGCCAGAATGTCAACGAGGCTGTGAGATGATTCCTTGAGCTCCTCAATCTCAAGCCTCCGATTTGGAAGCACCTTTCTGCTTTAGAAGCTTTTGATGAGCTCTAAAGTCATCTTGGGGAAGCGAGATGCTTGGCCCTGAGACGGCCTCATCAGGGGAGGAGGAGGAAGAGGCCTGTACTAGAGGAGGAGCTTCTTCCTCTTCTTCAGCCTCAATAATCTCCATAGGGGCCATGTCCTGTAAATCAGTACCAGGGTCAGTACTGGAGTCGGGGTGCAGTGCAGGAGCCCGCCTCTCAGCAGCAACCAAGTATGAACAGTGGGAGGGCAGACCTGGTATTGGGGGAAAACCGCAAGAGTTCCAGAATAGCCACTGCATAGGCCACTCTCCTGGCCAGATACCAGCAGGGGGACCCGCACCAAGGTCCGGTGACATGTAAGACAGGTAACGGTGGCCCTTAGTGTGAATGGAGGGCTCCGCGTTGGACTCAGATGAAGAATCCTCCCTAGGCATCCATGGGGAAGCGGTACCTCTCAGAAGGAGCTGGTGGGCCCAGTGCTGGGAAGGAGCTCAGAGCACCGGGCTCTTTCCTGCTCAAGAACGACAAAGCTGATGGCTGACCTAATAGGGTTGGCAGGACCAGGAGCGCAACAAGTCTCTGGCTGCTGCAAAGGCCTCTGGGGTTGAAGGCACTGCAATTCCGCTGGCACCATGATGAATTCCCAGCATCGGTGGATTATCCCACACCAGACTGAATGATCCCAGCTGAGTCGATGGTGCCGCCATGGGACCGGGGGTGGAGGAGTGGCCCAACATGGGTCGCACTCCACTGTCTTCCCCTGGCTTGCCTTTCTTTGGCATTAGCGAGCGCCCTCTGTCAGTGCACTGCTTTTTGTGCATCTTCCTCGGCACCGGGGATGGAGAGCGGTGCTGGGATGGAGCAATGTCGGTGGAGCGCTTCGCACCGAGGCCAAAGTGCTCAGTGCTGAATCCGAGAGGCTTGGTTCCGAAGTTAGTCGAAGAGCAGCTTCCTTTAAGACAGCCTTCAGTCTGATCTCTCTGCCCTTCTTTGTGTGAGTTTAAAGCCCCAACAAATTTGGCAGCCGTCTTTCACGTGAGATTCTCCCAGACACTTCAGACAACTGGAGTGTGGGTCACTCACGAGCATAGGCTTGCCACAGGAGGCACAAGGCTTGAAGCCCAGAGGCGAAGGGCACCCCTTGACAATAAGAGGAGAAGGTACTAACTATCTACACTAAAAGTATTTACAATATATACACTAAAACTAAACTATAGACTAAACTATGAAACAGAAACCACTGATAATTGCCTTGCCAAAGCAAGAGGAGACATTCCAGCAACTGTCACAGGTGATAAGAAAGAACCAAGAGGGTGTGGGGCTGGTGGTGCCCTTATACTGGTGCATAAATGCACAGCACCAGAGGGCGCTAGAGCGGGCCCAACTGATCCCACTGAGGGAAAAATCTCTGGCAACAGTGCACGCGGCTAACATGGAATTCCTAATGTGGAATAGACATAAGCCAGCTCTCAAAAATGAACTCCTCTTCTGCCAGTTCCAATCCAGAAAGACTTCTCCCTCTCATCATTCCAAAAAAGAGAGGGTGGGTGACCTGTTTTAAACAATTTTAGAAGCACTGTTGTCCTTATAATGCTTCTCCAATGCTGACTTGAATGGTGAGAGTACTAGTGGTTGACTGTCTGCTGTTATACCCAAGAAAGAAGAGGTGGCCGTCAAGCTATACTATGTGGATGAGTTAGGAGAAGTGTCACTGGCATGAGCACAGGCCAAATTAGACTAAGCAGGAACCAAATGCACTACACAGAGTTTTCAGTGCAATCTATCATACCAGACATCTTAATATTCTGGACAATACTACAACAGCCCTATGTGGAACAAGTCTAATAGAAGGAGAGAATACTTTATCAGAAGCAAACAATAACCCTAAGGAAATTTTAAGGGTCAAAGAAGCAGAGAAATGTGAGGGGAAACTTACATGATGATTAATATAAACTGCAATAAATTAATAGCTGGCTCTTAAAACACACCAATCCCAGAGAAATAAGGTAAAGCTTGTGCACTTCCAGAGGGAAAGGGATGGAAACATTTTAGAAAAATCTATTAACTCATCTGTTCACTTTAATCACAACAAGATCCAACGTCCAAGATTAAAGCATCGTCAGGGGACCTGACAAGACTATGTGTATCACACAGAGTCATTTCACTATACAAGATTGTCATGTGGTTCTTACTTGCCCAGAGAGAAATGAGAAATGTATTATAATCCTGCAAAATTACTTTATTCACACATTTCAGCAGAGGATTTTTAAAACAAGTTGTTTATATCAAACAAGAGTTTTGTGCACTGATGATGAAGTTATACCGGCTCATTCTCAGCACAGATATGCATAAAATACAAAAAGCTTTCCTCTTTGTTTACTAGAAAAAAAGATGCATTAAACTTTTTTGGAAGCTGGAACTAGATGTCTGAAGAAGATAATGCTGTGGCCACTCTATACCTGGCTCTCTGGCTGTGTTGCTGTGGAAACCAACAATGATTTCAGCAACCTTTCTAATTGAAAAAGAATGAGAGGAGAACCATGGGCCTGGGTCGGTTCCGTCCATTCTGTCTAGGCATTTTTACTGCATGCATCAGCATGGTATCTGTGTGCGGGATTCTTCATTGCTATTTAGAAGAGAAGGGGTTGATTGCTGGTTTGAGCCTATCACCTCTGGGCTTGGGTGCTTATAAAGGCTTTGCGCTCAGGCCCTTGTGGCTGAGAAAGTGACTGGTTTTTTTCCCCTATTGTTACTCACACCTTCTTGTCAACTGTTGGAAATGGGCCATCCTGATTATCACTACAAAGGTTTTTTTTCTCCTGCTGATAATAGCCCACCTTGACTGACTCCCCTCATTATAGTTAGTATGGCAACACCCATTTTTTCACGTCCTCTGTGTATATATATCTTCCTACAGTATTTTCCACTGCATGCATCCGATGAAGTGGGTTTTAGCCCACGAAAGCTTATGCTCAAATAAATTTGTTAGTCTCTAAGGTGCCACAAGTACTCCTCGTTCTTTTTGCTGATACAGACTAACACAGCTACCGCTCTGAAACCTTGCATCATTCAGTGACTCCTCTGCCCAATTAAGGAACAGAAGTGATCAGATCTAAAGGGCTTCTCATCCAATCCTTCTCACCTAGAGAGGTTAAGATGGTGCAGTAAGCTTGAGCATGTGTATAAGGCCCAATGCAGCAAGGTGCTGAGAGTCCTCAATTCCCATTCATGTCAGTAGAAGTGCAGCCCTTCTCAAGACAAAAGGTGCTCTGTCCCACTTAGGACCGTCCCATAAAAGGAAAAACAGGGGTAGCTTTCAGGACCTGATCAGGACACCACAAAAATCCCCTCCCCCAAAAGACAGCTGAGTTTTAGCCAACACTTCCACTTTACAGCAAGACAGTGTGGGCCCGTTTGGACTCTGAGTTGAAAGCCAGGAACTCCGAAGTTCTAAGCTCAGCTCTGACCCCTGTTGTGTATCCTTAGAAAGTCACTTAACGCAACTGTACAAATGACAAAACGGAGGCAGGGAGGTTAATACTTATTCTCACAACATGGCTGAGAGGTAGGTTAATGTTTGTACTTGAAAAGAATGTAAAGCACTAAATCAGTGCTAAATATAACTACCCTCCAAGACTTTCAATACTTGGATGGGATAATACTAAAGAAAACCCTGGTGCTAGTGAGTCAGTAGGTGCTACTGTTCCTGCTGAATCAATGCCCAAAGACGGTTTAGGGGTCTACTCTGCAGCTGGAGATACTAAATCATTGTGGTCATACAAGATCCCACAACATTTTTTCTAAGAGCAGGGGTGTTAAAGGCCAGTGTCCTGCCCAAACTCCCCCCTGTGGTTTCAACTCAGGACAGAAGAATTCATGTTCTCTTCCAAGCTGCTGTGCAGTGTTGCTGTGACCTAGTAGACAGCTACTGTGTTCCACCTCAGAGGTGGCTGCATTTCACTGATGGATGAAGTGATACTTTACCCCTCTGTTGTCACACTAGATTAATTGGAGAAAGATTGTGGCCAGCCCCTGCAAGGGAGGACAAAGTAGGGGAGAGGGTGAAAGGGGACTCTCACTTGCTGCCCCAGTCCAGAGGCTGTGCACTATGGCATTCTTGCTTTCAGAGAACACAAGGCCTATGAGATGCTAGTGCTATGGCTTGGATTAGTCTCAACAAACAGGATTGAGGGGGTGGACTTTAGCCTCACCCTTCCCACTGTACACCACTCAGCAAAGCTGGCTGGATGCTGTACCCACTTCAAGATAGTAGAGCAGCGGTAGGCATAATCCCACCCAGGGCTCCTGCTAGGGCAGAGCCTCTCCACACCATCTCTAACTCAGGGCCATGCCACAAGCATGATAAAAGTTTCAACTGTTTGCAAAGTGCTTTGAGTAATTCAGATGAAAGGAGCTATAGAAATAAAGAGCATCACCATAAATAAACGAAGTGACACTACACGGTAATTAATCTCAAATGGAGAATCCCTCCATTTCATTCAGTGAAGATACAGGACTCAGTTTTCCAAAAAGCACTAAGGGCCCAATCTAACTCCTCTTGAAGTCAATGGAAAGATCTCCAGTGGCTTTTGAAAGGTGCTGCTGCATTGGGTCCAAAAGTAAACTTCATTTTGTAAGTGTTTTAGCCTGAATTCTTAACTTCCCTTGGAAGAAGCAAATAATTTTCAATTCTCCTGATTTGATTATTATTTTTCTTTTTACAACAAATTTCTAAAAAAAACCAATATATAATCGAAGGAATATTTAGAGATGTTAAGAGGCATACATGGGTTGCACAGAAAAATAATGAATGTCCTTTACACTTTCACTAGTAATGTTATATTTCTAATCCTCTCATTTAGAAGAGATTCATTTTCATACTTTACTTTCTCAATGCAAATTTTCATTTCTGCTATTTCCCTCAGACAGGCATCCTGTAAAATAATTCAAAGAATAATCACAACTTTGTGGTAAAGAGTTTGTTGTTCATATATACTTATATATTTGGGGGATATAGTTTGTTTGAAACAAACAAAGCTGTCTGCTATCAATAATACATTGTTTTCTTATTAAATTTAGGGAAGGATTTTTCAAAAGCACCTAAGGGTATGTCTACACTACGAAATTAGGTCGAATTTATAGAAGCCGGTTTTATAGAAATCGGTTTTATACAGTCGATTGTGTGTGTCCCCACATAAAATGCTCTAAGTGCATTAAGTCGGCGGACTGTGTCCACAGTACCGAGGCTAGCGTCGACTTCCGGCGCATTGCACTATGGGTAGCTATCCCACAGTTCCCGCAGTCTCCGCCGCCCATTGGAATTCTGGGTTGAGACCCCAATGCCCGGATGATGCAAAACAGTGCCGCGGGGGGTTCTGGGTACCTGTCGTCAGGCCCCTCCCCCTCCGTCACAGCAACGGCAGACAATAGATTCGCGCCTTTTTACCTGGGTTACCTGTGCAGACAACATACCACGGCAAGCATGGAGCCCGCTCAGCTCAGCTCACCGTCACCATATGTCATCTAGGTGCCGGCAGACGTGGGACTGCATTGCTACACAGCAGCAGCAGCTAACTGCCTTTTGGCGGTAGACGGTGCAGCATGACTGGTAGCCTTCATTGGCGATCTGGGTGCCGGCAGCCGTGGGGCTGGCAGCCGTAGGGCTGCATTGCACCAGCCCTTGCCTTTTGCCTTTTGGCAGTAGCTGGTTTATTACGACTGGTAACCGTCCTCGTCGGACAGCAGTGGCTGTCGATCATGGGCACCTGGGCAGACAATGATGGTTATCAGTCGTAGTATACTATTTTCTGCCAAGCACCCAGTTTTCTGCCAAGCACCCAGAAAATGCTGAGGGCTATCAGTCATGCTGCACCGTCGTCTTAAGATGTAAAAAATAGATTTATTCTGTATTCATTTGCTTCCCCCCTCCCTCCTGCTAAACCCTGGCTTTTGAGTTCAATCTTTGGGGGGGGGGCATTCTGTGTGACAGTTGTTTGTGTTTCTCCCTGATGCACAGCCACCTTTCTTGATTTTAATTCCCTGTACCTGTATGCCATGTCGTCACTCGTCCCTCCCTCCCTCCCTCCCCTAGTCCGTCAGATACTAGTTTCGCGCCTTTTTTCATACCAGGCGCCATAGCTAGCACTGGGATCATGGAGCCCGCTCAGATCACCGCGGCAATTATGAGCACTATGAACACCACGCGCATTGTCCTGGAGTATATGCAGAGCCAGGACATGCCAAAGCAAAACTGGAACCAGCCGAGGAGGTGGCGATTAGAGCGCGGCAACGAGAGTGATGAGGAAATGGACATGGACCTAGATCTCTCACAAGGCAGAGGCCCCAGCAATGTGGAAATCATGGTGTTCCTGGGGCAGGTTGATGCCGTGGAACGCCGATTCTGGGCCCGGGAAACAAGCACAGACTGGTGGGACCGCATCGTGCTGCAGGTGTGGGACGATTCCCAGTGGCTGCGAAACTTTCGCATGCGTAAGGGCACCTTCATGGAACTTTGTGACTTGCTTTACCCTGCCCTGAAGCGCCAGAATACCAGGATGAGAGCAGCCCTCACAGTGGAGAAGCGAGTGGCGATAGCCCTGTGGAAGCTTGCAACGCCAGACAGCTACCAGTCAGTCGGGAATCAATTTGGAGTGGGCAAATCTACTGTGGGGGCTGCTGTGATCCAAGTTGCCAGGGCAATGAGAGACCTGGTGATATCAAGGGTAGTGACTCTGGGAAACGTGCAGGCCATAGTGGATGGCTTTGCTGCAATGGGATTCCCAAACTGTGGTGGGGCGATAGACGGAACCCATATCCCTATCTTGGCACCGGAGCACCAAGCCACCGAGTACATAAACCGCAAGGGGTACTTTTCAATGCTGCTGCAAGCCCTGGTGGATCACAAGGGACGTTTCACCGACATCAACGTGGGCTGGCCGGGAAGGGTACATGATGCTCGCGTCTTCAGGCAGTCTGCTTTCTTTAGAAAGCTGGAGGAAGGGACTTTCTTCCCGGACCAGAAAATAACCGTTGGGGATGTTGAAATGCCTATCGTGATCCTTGGGGACCCAGCCTACCCCTTAATGCCATGGCTCATGAAGCCGTACACAGGCAGCCTGGACAGGAGTCAGGACCTGTTCAACTACAGGCTGAGCAAGTGCCGAATGGTGGTGGAATGTGCATTTGGGCGTTTAAAAGCGCGCTGGCGCAGCTTACTGACTCGCTCAAACCTTAGCGAAAAGAATATCCCCATTGTTATTGCTGCTTGCTGTGCGCTCCACAATATCTGTGAGAGTAAGGGGGAGACATTTATGGCGGGGTGGGAGGTAGAGGCAAATCGCCTGGCCGCTGATTACGCGCAGCCAGACACCAGGGCGGTTAGAGCAGCACAGCATGGCGCTGTGCACATCAGAGAAGCTTTGAAAACCAGTTTTGTGACTGGCCAGGCTACGGAGTGAAACTTCTGTTTGTTTCTCCTTGATGAACCCTCCGCCCCTCCCCCCCCCCCACCCGGTTAACTCTACTTCCCTGTAAACCAACCACCCCACCCTCCCCTACCCTCCCCCCTTCAAGCACCAGTTGCAGAGGCAATAAAGTCATTGTTACTTCACATTCATGCATTCTTTATTAATTCATCACACAACTAGGGGGATAATTGGAAAGGTAGCCCGGGATGGGTGGGGGAGGAGGGAAGGAAAAGGACACACTGCAATTTAAAACTTTAAAACTTATTGCTATGGAAATCATCTAGGGTGGAGTGAGTGGGTGGCCGAAGCCCCCCCCCACCATGTTCTTGGGCGTCTGGGTGAGGAGGCAATGGGAGTTGGGGAGGATGGCTGTTGGTTACACAGGGGCTGTAGCGGCGGTCTCTGCTCCTGCTGGCTTTCCTGCAGCTCAACCATACGCTGCAGCATATCAGTTTGATGCTCCAGCAGCCGGAGCATCGACTCTTGCCTTCTGTGTGCAAGCTGACGCCACCTCTCATCTTCAGCCCGCGATTCAGCACGCCACTTCTGCTCTTCTGCCCGCGATTCAGCCCGCCACCTCTCCTCTCGGTCATATTGGGCTTTTCTAAAATCAGCCATTGACTGCCTCCACGCATTCTGATGGGCTCTGTCAGCGTGGGAGGCAGTCTGTAATTCTGTGAACATTTCATCACGTGTCCTTCGCTTTCGGTTTCGAATCTTCAGTAGCCTCTGTGAAGGAGACACATTTGCAGCTGGTGGAGGAGAAGGGGAGAGGTGGTTAAAAAAGATACATTTTAGAGAACAATGGATACACTCTTTCACATTAAATTTTGCTGTTCACATAAAACAGCACATGTGCTTTCGTTACAAGGTCGCATTTTTCCTCTTATATTGAGAGTCTCCTGGTTTGGTGTGAGAGATCACTCACGCAGTGCCAGGACACAGATTTCAGCTTGCAGGCAGCCATGGTAAGACATACAGTCTTTGGGCTTTTTTAACCTTCTTAACATGTGGGGATGGTTTCAAACAGTACTGCCCTCATTTCCCATACCAAGCACCCGTTTGGTTGGCCATTTAAAATGGGTTTGCAATGTAAAAGGAGGGGCTGCGGTTTCAGGGTTAACATGCAGCACAAACCCAACTAATTCCCCTCCCCCCCACACCCAATTCTCTGGGATGATCACTTCACCCCTCCCCCACACCGCGTGGCTAACAGTGGGGAATATTTCTGTTCAGCAGAGCAGGAAGGGGCACCTCTGAATGTCCCCTTAATAAAATTGCCCCATTTCAACCAGGTGACCGTGAATGATATCACTCTCCTGAGGATAACAAAGAGCGATAAGGAATGGATGTTGTCTGCATGCCAGCAAACACCGGGACCATACGCTGCCATGCTTTGTTATGCAATGATTCCAGACTACGTGCTACTGGCCTGGCGTGGTAAAGTGTCCTACCATGGCGGACGGGATAAGGCAGCCCTCCCCAGAAACCTTTTGCGAAGGCTTTGGGAGTACATCCAGGAGAGTTTTCTGGAGATGTCCCTGGAGGATTTCCGCTCCATCCCCATACACGTTAACAGACTTCTCCAGTAGCTGTACTGGCCGCGATTGCCAGGGCAAATTAATCATTAATCATTAAACACGTTTGCTTTTAAAACATGTGTAATATTTACAAAGGTACACTCACCGGAGGTCCCCTGTGTGCCCACAGGGTCTTGGGTGAGTTCGGGGGTTACTGGTTCCAGGTCCAGGGTGATAAACATATCCTGGCTGTTGGGGAAACCGGTTTCTCCGCTTCCTTGCTGCTGTGAGCTATCTACATTATCTCCATCCTTATCTTCCTCGTCCCCCGAACCCGCTTCCCTGTGTGTTTCTCCATTGAGGGACTCATAGCACACGGTTGGGGTAGTGGTGGCTGCACCCCCTAGAATGGCATGCAGCTCCGCGTAGAAGCGGCATGTTTGCGGCTCAGCCCCGGACCTTCCGTTTGCCTCTCTGGCTTTGTGGTAGGCTTGCCTTAGCTCCTTAATTTTCACGCGGCACTGCTGTGTGTCCCTGTTATGGCCTCTGTCCTTCATGGCCTTGGAGACCTTTTCTAATATTTTGCCATTTCGTTTACTGCTTCGGAGTTCGGCCAGCACTGATTCATCTCCCCATATGGCGAGCAGATCCCGAACCTCCCGTTCTGTCCATGCTGGAGCTCTTTTGCGATCCTGGGACTCCATCACGGTTACCTGTGCTGATGAGCTCTGCGTGGTCACCTGTGCTCTCCACGCTCAGCAAACAGGAAATGAAATTCAAAAGTTCCCGGGGCTTTTCCTGTCTACCTAGTCAGTGCATCTGAGTTGAGAGTGCTGTCCAGAGCGGTCACAATGAAGCACTGTGGGATAGCTCCCGGAGGCCAATAACGTCGATTTCCGTCCACACTAACCCAATTCCGACCCCATAAGGCCGATTTTATCGCTAATC